ATTCCAAAAGTGTTTGTGTAAGATTATTGTTGATAGATTTCACTAGTAAAAACTTCTGGGCCTGGAATTTTGTGAGAAACATTTTTTTTTTATCATGAATTCAATGTCTTTCATAGATACAGAGCTGTTCAGTTTTTCTTTTTAATTACGTGTCAGTTTTGATAAGTATTTTTCAGGGAATTTGTCAGTATCATCTAAGATATCAAATTTATTATAATTAGATTATTCAAAATATTACCTTATTTTTCTTGTAATATCTGTAAGATGTTTAGGGTAATCCCTCTTTCATCCCTGTTTTGGTAACTTGTATTCTTAAGTTTTAACTAAAGTTTGTATCAACTTTGTTGAACTTTTTAAATAATCAACTTTTAGACTGTCAAATTTTCACTTTTTAAGTAAAATGTATTGATTTATTTAAGAGAGAGAAACATTGATTTGTTATTCCACTTTATGCTTTCATTGGTTGCTTCTTGTATGTAGTTTAAAATGATTTTTTGGGGGGGGAGGGTATAGATTGTCTTTGTTTTAAATTTATTATAGCCCTAACCGGTTTGGCTCAGTGGCTAGAGCGTCGGCCTGCGGACTGAAGGGTCCCAGGTTCGATTCCGGTCAAGGGCATGTACCTTGGTTGCGGGCACATCCCCAGTGGGGGGTGTGCAGGAGGCAGCTAATCGATGTTTCTAACTCTCTAGCCCTCTCCCTTCCTCTCTGTAAAAAATCAATAAAAATATATTAAAAAAAATAAATTTATTATAAGTGTACTAAAGTTCAAAGTGGCCGTCAAAGACAGGTCTCACCAGATTAGGGTTTGCAGTGAGATTCCAGGGGGTCCCAATCCCATTGAGAAAAGGGACCCCCTTTGGTCCCGGAGGTGGAGAGAATGGTGGACTCTATTCTATCTCTTTGAGTTAAAAGGGCTGGGATTAACCTGTGAGTAAATACCTTGGGAGGACACATTTTTATATAAGAAACTTCCTAGTGCTTCGTTTCTGTCTTTTCTTCAATTAGTGTCTCCAGGAGTAGAACAAGAACTCAAATAAGACTTGTAATCTTATTACGTGTTGATCTAATAGAACTGCACATTTAGCTTGAATATGACATGGTCATCTGTATTCCTTCCTAAGTCATTCGTCGTTTTGGCTTTGAGTTACTACCCTGGGCCCGTTTTCTTTTTTGGAAAGGTTTGACCTTTTCATTGTAAGTCCTAGATGATACAGTTGACCCTTGTACAAGGGGTTAGGGGCACAGTCACAAATCAGTGTAACTACACTGGTTTGAATTGGACAGGTCGATTGAAAACCCCGTATGTAAGTGGACCCGTGCAGCTCAAACCCGTGTAGTTCAAGGGTCACTGTATATAACCCTGACTACTAACAGTTGTTAGTTTCTTGATCAAAACAGATCAGCAAGAGTTCATCTTGATCTGGCTGACACAATGAAACACACAACAGGAGGGGGAAGCCTCCGCCAGCTGTTGACTCAGAGATTCACAGTAAGGCAGCGGTTCTCAACCTGTGGGTCGCGACCCCTTTGGGGGTCACCTAAGACCATCCTGCATATCAGATATTTACATTACAATTCATACCAGTAGCAACATTACAGTTATAAAGTAGCAACGAATATAATTTTATGGTTGGGTCACAACATGAGGAGCTGTATTTAAAGGGCCAGAAGGTTGAGAACCACTGCTAATGGGATGAATGCTCAGGACTTCTGAGAAAGACAGATTTTTATCTTTAAGGTTTAAATGTCAATCACAGTGTTTGTCCTGGCCCACCTGCTGAAGATGACTTAACTACCCCCCCCCCCCTTCTGCCCCCATGTCACACCTGAAGTCACTGCTCCTGAAACTCGTGGCTGTGGAGTCAGCTCTCTCTCTTGTGACCCAACTCAGGGAGGGGCAGCTTCGCTGCGGAGACTGTCTTGGCGTAAATATTCTAGGTGCCTCTCCTCCTGCCTGGGCTGCTTGTGCTCAGAGTCTTGGAAGCTGACTTCTCCGGTGTTTATTCCTGGGCAAGGTGCAGTCACACTGCATTTTGCTTAAAGTAACAGTCTCAGAATTCCTTCAGGTTTCTGTGATATACAGTGGACATCACAGTGAACCACAGGAGTGGCTGATGGGAAGTATGGACGGGTGTGCGCCTACTATCTTGCTTATATGGGTGTATTCTTTGGCTGTTGGCACTGGAAGAATAGATTCACATCACTCCACTGTCAGTTTTATCCAGTGCTAGATGCATCCTTTCGTCACATGACCTGATCGCAACCAGAATTGGGCTCTGAGGTCCTCTGAGTCGGTCATTAATGGGCTTCCCGCCATCCCTGTCGGCGGGCCGCGTTGTTTCCCAGAGCTGGGCTGCACGTGGTGTGTGAATTGTGAGGCTCTGCTGCTGTTAGTGCTGTTGAGGTCAAGGGCTCATCCAAGTACAGTTAAAATTCCGTTTCTTCAGGAAGGTCAGGAAATGACATTTTGAAAATACATAGATTAAAGACATGATATAACTGAGTGATCAGGAAGTATTGAGTGGCCACACTGACCAGACCAGTTCCGGTTCTGTGGATCCGTGAGGCAGCCGACCCCGGCTCTCACCTTAAAGGCTGCACCTAAAGGGGAGGTGGCTGCCAGACATGGCCAGGAATCCTCTTGGCTTCCTGCGTAGTTCATTGCCTTTTACAGGGCCCAGTAGCCATGGCATGGCCAGACGTTTAGAATTCAGAACTAAAAGCAGTGGGTATAGACTGACAGAGCCCCTGGGTAAGAAATGGAAGATCCTTAGGAGTTCCAGCGAGGAGCTCGTCCTGAATAGTATCACTCTCTGGCTTTTAGAAAAGATCTGTAGCCCAGCTAGTTGGCTCAGTGGCTAGAGCATCAGCTCGCAGACTGAAGGGTCCTGGGTTCAATTCCATCTGAAGGGCATGTACCACAATTGTAGGCTCAATCCCCGGCCCTGGTTGGGGCGTGGGCAGGAGGCATCAATTGATGTGTCTCTCTCACATTGATGTTTTCTCTCTCTCTCTCTCTCTCTCTCTCTCTCTCTCTCTCTCCCCCCCCCTCCCTCTCCCTCTCCCTCTCCCTCTCCCTCTCCCCCTCTCCCTCTCCCTCTCTCCTCTCTTCCATTCTCTCTAAAAACCAATGGAAAAATATCCTCGGATGATGGTTAACCAAAAAACAAAAAACCCCACCAAATTTTGTAGCTAAAAGCTACATTCAAACAGTCATTAAAGTTTATACCAAATGTTTTGTGTGTTTTCATTTCGTGATAGTGGTCTGTTGTGGAGGAATAGTTTGGTTATGGCCACAATTCGAAGAGATGTCCACTAGTCAACTATAGTTCAGGAGTCCTAGACCTAAAGTCCCCATGGGCCTCAACAAGGAAATACTACAGCAGCATGCGTGGGTCCGAGGCCTCTTGTCTTGCGTGGGAGGGAGGTGGGGTCCCCTCCCCTTCGTGAAGCAAGCTGCCCTGAGTCCTTGGTTTTCTCCAGACGTGCCTGGGCTTTAGGGCGGCAGGCCGTCACTCGCTGCACAGCCTTTGCCACGGATTGCGCACTGGAACGTGCCCTGTGGGTCGGGTGCACCTGTCTTCTTCCAGGAGTGGCTTGAGCTCTGCCTTACGGATCCTCGGATCCTCTTTTCAACCGTCCAGGAGGGGAACGCCAGTGTCTCGACACTGGAAGTTGTGAGGAGGAGCGGTTTCAACCCCCTGGTCCCCTGGAGACATTTCCTAGACCCCCCCTTAGAGGCCAGTGTCCTCCTGGCTCCTCAGCCGAGTGTGCTCCTCCTCCCTCCTGGATCCAGTAGACGGCCATGCTGCGCGGTGTTCTCTCTAGAAAGCCTGCCCCAGGCATCCAGACACATCTTCACCTTCTGTGCCCCCCGCCTCCCCCGTCCTGACACTCAAGGTGGCCTGTTTTATAACTAGCTTATAACTTCCCCAAATAACAAGATATGGTGGCTATAACATACGTTATAACATCCATGCTCTCTTACTACTGGCTTCTTTAGCATAATATTAAAATATGAACTTCTTGCTCAGTTGATATGGCTCCGTGGTTGAGCATTGACCTATGAACAGGGAGATCACAATTGGGGTTGCCGGCTCTATCCCAGGTAGGGGGCGTGCAGGAGGCAGCCTATCTGATTCTCTCTCATCATTGATATTTCTCTCTCCTTTCCTCGATGAAATCAATAAAAAGAAAAAGTGAACTTTCCATGTCAACACACTTACTTCTGCAGCATCCTTTCCAATGACTACATAGTAGTCCATTGCGTGAATCTGTCACACATTTCCTTCTTGTTAGGCATTTAGATCATTTTTATTTTTTTACTCCTATAAAAACACTAGGGTTCACATAGACCCTATCATTTCCTCAGAAAAATTCACTGAAGTAGAGGAGCTAGCTCAAAGCCCCTTCTGGGGCCCTGTGGTGGCCACAAGCACTGCGTTAAAAGGAGTGCAGGCTCCTGCCACAGACTTGTAAATTGTCTTTGCAATTCGGGCTCGCTGGCTGGCAGGCACTTGGAGATTTCAAATGGCATTTTGCGTTTGTTTTGTTTTGTTTTGTTTTGCTGGGTTTATACGAGAATTCCAAGCCTGGAGATTTTCTGCAGGTAACAGGTGTATCAAGAGGTGCACTTCCCAGGTGTGGCCTCCTACCGCACTTGAGGGAACATGCGTCATGTTAGGGAGCCCAGCGCTGTTTTGCTCAAATTGGATGCTGAAGAGTTATTTACTGTATACAGGGTGGTTTGGCTTAAGTTGCAATTTAAACTAATTTCTTAGGATCATTAATGAAAACAAAGATAGAAAAATTAAAGAGATCCAGGAGATCACTGGGATCATAAGAGTCTGAACTGAAAAGACAAAGCAGAGCCCCAAGAAGAAGAATTTAAAATCTAGCCTGCGCCTGCTGTAGACAGGATGTGTGCGCTTCTCAAAGTGTGGCGCTCTCGGAAAGAAACGACAGCCATCATTTGACTTTTTCTTTCTTCTTTCTAGGTGTCTCATTCAGTTGCTAAACTTATATTAGTTAATTTCCACTGGCAAGTTGCAGAGATATTGGACAGGTAAGCTGTTCGGGGGAGGAGAGGTGGCATCACCCATAGCTGCTCTCTCTGCCCGCCCACCCAGTGGTGATATTATTTGCATTTTGGAGTATATCCTTATATTTTAAAAACACTGGATCATATTGTATGTATTTTTTCTCTCAATATATGTTGAACATTTTCCCATATATCTTTCTGGTTAATTTGCTGGCACAGTATCTGATCATACAGATGTTTCATACTTTGTTCAAACCCCTGTTGTTGGACAATGACGTTCAGATTTTGTGTGCCCTTGTTAATTAATTTGTAGTCAGTGCCCTTCTAGATAACACTTGCCAACATCTCTGGTTATTTCTTTTGGATACATCAAGTTAGGAATGCACCATCGCATATCACATATTAGCTTGAGCAAAGGTAATTGGTCCATTTACCACCCACCTCCAGATTTGGAGTCTCAAGACACTGGAAGTTGTGAGGAGGAGGGGTTTCTCCCCCCTGGTCCCCTGGAGACATTTCCTAGCGCCCCTCCCCCCCCCCCCTTAGAGGCCAGGGCTTCTGTCTAGCTCAGGGTCTCTATCCTCAGCACTATTGACATTTGGGCTACATAACTCTTGGTTGTGGGGAGACTGTTCTGTGAATTGTAGGAGGTTTGGCAGATGCCCCCAGCTCTACCTTCAATCAGTAGCAGCAGCATCCAGCGTCCTAGAGATAAAGTGTCTTCAGGCCCTGCCCTTCCACACCCGGGCAGTTCTCTCGCGGTGCGACCCCCTGTAAATGCAGAGCAAGGTCATGCCTTTCCTTCCTCAGGCTGGGCAGCTGGGTGGCCACACCAGCCGAGTTCATTCGCTCACTGCACTCTCACTGCTCATGCCAGAGCAGGCTCAGCGAGAGGCCGATGAGCTGCCAGGTCTGCGCCCTGTCACTGCCCGGACTCTGGGGCCACATAGGTTCCGTGGGCCTCTCACTGTCCACACTCCTGAGCGTCATTTGGGATGGAGAGGTGGGTGGCTAAAGACACCAACAATTCCAGCGTGAGGAGTAGGAGTGAAAACGGGAAGGTGGGTGAGGACGACACATGTCTGAGACATAACCTTCCCTGCGCAGGTTCCTGTCTTGGTAATGTGTTTTCCTGGGCTTTGGGTAGCACTTTTATTGCCACATGATGATTGTTCTTATTTCTAAATGTATTTATGCCATACCTCACTCCAGAAGGGGTTAAATTTTTATGATGAAATAGTGCTTTTTCGGAAATTGGTGTGTGTGAATGTGTGCGCACGCACATGCGTATGTGCTGTGTGTAGGCATTAGAGGAGAATAAAGCAAACACTCTTCTGAGTGCTCACCGAGTGAGAAGCCCTCTGGCCTTCACTGGGAGGGCGGCCTCGGCGGCCACGCCTGCCTGGCCACGCCCTTCCTTCCGCTCCAGGCACTCGTATCTTCAGTTTGGTATTGATCATTTTCTTATTTTTTCTTAAATTATGTGTATTTTACTTTACTATGTTTTTAGAACTCTACAGACATATAATCACGCTGTAAGTGTTTTTAAGTTTTAAAATTACAAACAAGGTTGCATTTTATGACATCCTAGGAATCCTTTCAGAAAACCATTGGTGAGGGTTGTTTTTGTGTTTGGTTGGGGTTTTTTGCTGTTACAAGTAATGCAGCTTTGAAAACTTGTCCGTGACTCCCAGTGTAACATGATTTTTGTAGGGTTCAGAACAGGAGTGCATTACTGGTCTATTGGGTGTGTGTTTCTAAAACTTTACTAATCAATGCCACTGTGTTTCCCAAGTGATCATACCGTGTACATGCCCACAGTGATAGAGGAGCTCCTGATACTGCCACGTTTAACGTTTTACAATCTGGTGGGTGTACATGGCATCTAATGGTTTTTAATTTCAATTTTCCTGATTGTTAAGGAGGTTGAGCATCTTTTCTCATGTTTAATGGTCATTTGTGCTTCCTCTTCTGTGAAATGCCTGTTCTCTCTTTGCCCATTTTTATTGTTATTTTGTCTTTTGTATCTTGTATCTGGAATGTGGTTTGGCATAACTACAGTTAGAAATAAGAACAATTATCATGTGGCAATAAAAGTGCTACACAAAGCCCAGGCTCATTGAGGCACATTACCAAGACACCGAGGACAGGTGGACTTTCAGGAGTTTTTGGTTTCTTTATTCTGAATATCAGTCCTTTGCCAGGATAGGCATTGAATGATCTTCCAGTTTATATCTCGGCTTTTTACTTGATGGTTCCTCCTGATGAACCAAAGTTCTTAAATGTCACAGAATTTTTCAGTTTTCCTTTATGCTGTGCATTTTCTTTGTCTCAAGATCTCCTTCCCTATTCTGATGTCAATAAAGAGATTTTTACCTTTATTTCCAGAACGGAATTTAAACCAGAAACGATCCTTCATGAGTATTTTTCTTACAGTTCAGTGCCTTGGAGGCAGGGTTATTATTCTCATACAATTGAGAGCTCAAAAAAAATTGAAAAAGTATTTGCACGAAGGCAAAAGGAAGCTTGGTTCTGTGAGGCGGTAATTAGAGACAAAGACATTGTAGTGCAACTGCAACACGTGTTGGTTTTTATTCAGAGGTAAACATGTTTGCCTTCCGTTTCTGATTCCCTTCACTTCTGCCTTCTGTTTTGTAGATACAAGTCTAACTCTGCTCAGCTGCTTGTTGAGGCTCGAGTTCAGCCCAGTCCATCGAAACATGTGAGTGTGTCCTCCTTGAGGAAGACCTCCCCGTGCACGGGGCCTCGCTGTGGCTCACGGGGCTCCTGAGGGCCTCCTGGTGGTTCATAGTGTCACAGGCCTCCACACTGCTCCCGCTGGGCTCCCGTCTCCCTTTCCGTTCCAGTGTGAACAGTTTCCTCGTAGCTGAGGAGTAAAGCATTGCCGCTGCAGGGCCTCTCCAGCCCCTCTCATCTCTGCACTTACACAGCCTGCACTCCATCCCCCTGGGGCCGGGGCTTCCAGCTCACCGCACGCCTCTGCCTCTGCCTCTGCCTCTGCGTGCCCTCCCTGGCCTGGAATGCTCAGACCCTGTCCCCATCTTTGTGGGAGTGAAACTCACTTTTAAACACCCAAATCCAAGCTGTCTCTCACAAAGCCTGTCTTCTGTGATCACTCACTGCAAACCCTCTGCTTATATCTTTAAACCTTCACATGTATGTGGTAGTGATTCAGTCATCTTTCCCCCTACCTCACTGTACGTGCTCTGAGGATAGAAACCATATCCTACATCCTGCAGTACCTAGCCATTTCCTGTGAGTCTACAAGTTCAGCAAATGTGTCAAATGAATGAGGGCCGTGTTGAAAGAGCCCTTAGGAGAGAGATTTGGAGCTCAGATCACCACATAACTTCTGCAGCCTCTTACTTAGAAAACGCCCAGGCACAGACTGGATCAGCATGGGAACACAGTCCTTTTTCTCAAATCGTGTTTTGTATTTCCAGGGAACTAACAGGAACCTAAGATAAGCTCGTAGTGGCTTTTCCGTGGGTTGTAGTGTTGGCCACGGGACCCCAGATTGTCTGTGTCTGCCAGTTTGTGTCACATGCATCGATCCTGGAACCCGGCTTTAGAGCTGTTTGCCCACCTCCTAGAAGAGTTTCTTGCCGAGTAGGAGTCTTCGTCATCCTTGTAAATTAATTGCATGTGACATCTCTTCCGTGTGTGAAGGATGAGTTGTAACTTGGAAGAAGCAATAACGTTTTGTATTTGGGGCATGCCAACCGAGGAAACAAGCCGACTGTCTGATAAGCAGAGCTGCAGTGCGGCCATGAGAAGCTGTACGCAACCTCAGAGCCTTGGTGACTGGGTTGTAGCACTTGCTGAGGGGCAGCGCTGGGCTCTGCTGAACGGGCACTTCACAAAAGAAACCCCGTAGCCGTTCAAAGAGGTGGATTGAATGACCTCTGAGGGCCTTGACAGCTCTGAAACCCTGAGCTTTTCAGCCTGGCGTCATTAGACTGCTGCCAGCTGTCATTCTAACGTCTCTGCTTCACTGAGTCCTAGTGGTGCTCCAAGCCCAGCTCAGGTGCTGCCTCCCTCAGGAAGCCTTCCTGGGGGTGCTTGCTGCTCCGAGCTCTTGGACTCCCAGAGCCCACACATTGCAGCTGAGCTCTGACCCGTGCTGCAGGGTCAGGATCGCCTCCCCTCACCTGGCGGCACAGCACCCTGTGGCCCCGGGAACTGAAGGCAGGTTCCTCTTGGACTCACACGCCTTTGCCTCTCTCCAGGTCCCCGCAGCCCACCCCCCTCACCACTGCGCGGTGTGCATGCAGTTCGTGCGGAAGGAGCACCTCCTCTCTCTGGCCTGTCAGCACCAGTTTTGCCGCAGCTGCTGGGAGCAGCACTGCTCAGTGCTTGTCAGAGACGGCGTGGGTGTGGGTGAGTCTGCTCTCGAGCTTCTACAAGACTGGCCTCAACTGTTTATCTCTGACTCGGCCCTTTCAGGTACTCAGGTCAACTGTGTATCTTTTTTTAAAACAGAATGTTTTTATTGATTTCAGAGAGGAAGGGAGAGAGAGAGAGAGATAGAAACATCAGTGATGAGAGAGAATCATCCATCAGCTGCCTCCTGCACGCCCCCTACTGGGGATTGAGCCTGCAACCCAGGCATGTGCCCTGACTGGGAATCGAACTGTGACCTCCTGGTTCGTGGCTCAACCACTGAGCCACGCTGGTCAGGCGACTGTGTGTCTTCTTTTAAGCCTGACTGATGACTGACGTCACTGTCAGAACCATTGCTTTCCAGACACATCCGTCTGAACAGTGGCAAAGTGTTCCCGTCCTGAGCAACATGAGACAAGTAAGGCTGTTGTTTGGTCATGTTAAACGTTGGTGTGAGTGCAGGGCCGCCTCTTGGGAGCGCTTCTGGAAGCACTGTCCCTTAAGCTGCCAGCCTGCCCTCCTGATTCCCCAAGTGGCAGCCACAGCTCAGACATCCAGAGGGTTCGCTGCTATTTAGGTAACAGCACAGAGTGCATGGATGGTTGGTGACAGGAGTATTTGTTATACTATAACCTGATGATATTGAAACAAAATTGGCATCCCATTAATTGTGTCTGCAGAACCTCGTGTTGGTGATAAGCACTTGTACATAATATTACACATTACAGAACTCAGTTGTTAGGAACCATATAGGGTTTTTTAAACGAAAATTGTAATGGTGCCATTTGTGATGTATATGTAATTTGGAATAATATTTTAGTTACATCACTGTGCACATATATCAGTTTCTTTCTTTGAGTATGTTCTGTTGCTTCAAGGGTTTCCTATGTGGAACTGAATTTGTGGTTGAACTCAGTGGGCAAATATATTATTATTAGGGGCCCAGTGCACAGATTCATGCACCTTGAAAGGAACTGTGGGCCGAGAGGCTGCAGTGGGCACAGGGGCGGGTCTCGCCCCACCCGCCATGGCCCCCGGTCCCCTGTCTACTGGCAGCCCCGCTCCCATGCGCTGACAGCGCCAACCCTGCTCGCACCCACTGATGGCATGGAGCAATTGGGGACAGCACTGTCAGCAGGTGCTAGCGACAGCTGCTGCCCCCATCGCCTCCCAGGAGCAGGGGGAGGTGGAGAAGCCCTCAGGGGCGATCAGGGCCAGCAGCCGCTGCTCGCACCCGCTGACAGCACTGAACGATCACCGCCGGCTGGAGGTATAAGCCGGGCCAGCACCAGCAGTGGGTGCAAGTGGTGGCTCCGGCACCGGCACCGGCAGCAGGTGCGAGAGGCGGCTGCCAGCCCCGATCACCCCTCAGGAGCAGGGGGCAGTAGGAAAACCTGAGGGGTGATTGGGGCTGGCAGCCACTGCTCGCACCCGCTGACAGCACCGAGCTATCAGGGCCAGCGCCAGGCGCTGGCATCAGGTATGAGCGCCAGGTGGGACCGCAGCACACAGGAGCAAAGAATTTTCAGTAACCACCAGAGGCTCGCCCCAATGACAGCGACTGGTGCCCCACCTTGGTCTGGCGCCCCCGCTCACCTGCTCCACCATCCCGCCGCGGCCAACACCCACCATGTTCCACATGTGCCCGGGGTGGTCAGCGCACGTCATAGCGACTGGTGGTTTAGTTGTTCCTACGTTCAGTCTATTTGCATATTAGGGTTTTATATATATAGACAAGTGGTGATTCCTACAATAGTTGTCAATCAGCTGGTCTTTGTTCAACAGGAGTCTCTTGCATGGCTCAGGACTGCCCACTTCGAACACCAGAGGACTTTGTATTTCCATTATTGCCCAACGAAGAACTAAGAGACAAATACAGGCGCTACCTCTTCAGGGACTATGTGGAGGTATGACCTGCCCCTGTGGATGCGCCCTCTGCTTTCCTGGGCCTGCTTCCCACCAGGTGCTCACTAGGGTTGCTTTATAGACAAGGCTGCCATTAGGTGCTGCCATTTGAAGAAAGAGTTCCATGGCTTTAAAAATGTCAGGAAACCACTAGAATGGTAGACCCTGGAGTCAGGCAGTTGTGTGAATCCCAGGTCTGTTACGGCCTCGCTGTGTAACCTTCTCCCCATCGTTGTGCCTCTCTCAGCGTGGTTTTTCTTATACTGCGGTCACCTTATACACTTTGCTTCAACAAGCCATTGCATGCCCAGGTGTCAGCACTCGTCAGGCATATCTCAGGAGTTGCTGTTCCTTTTGGGTCACTGGGTGATCCAGCCCAGAGAAGGGGAATTGCTTCTTGTGCAGTTGGAAAACTTGTCCATGACTCCAGCATGGCCAGTCTTAGAGTCCTTGCCCTCTATTGGGCTACCAGTTCATGCTCGCTGGTTTCATGTGACATAGTTTCATTTTTTTTATGCCTAAGCTTATTGGTTGATTGACGGTCTGGTCTTCTCATGCACAAGCTGCAGATACACAGAAGGCCTGGCTCCGTGTGCTGTTTGCTGCCTTCAGTCAATGCCTGAGGGCTGCTGAGCTTCTCAGAGCCAGGCACAGTGGATCAGGCTGTGTTCCTTCCAGCCCTGGTCCCTTTGCATTTTCATCTCAAGGATACAATTGTGTGTTCCATTTTGTAACCTAATTTTAGACTATTGTAGTGAGTTGCTACCTAGTTTAACTAAACATTCAGAGGTCTTCAGTATCTGCCTAATGTCTGGCCTTCACGACATTCACCGTGAATTCCTATACCCCTGCATGTAAGTCATCAGCTGGAAGAACAGAAGGTGTTAGAGTGCTGGGGCGGGCGGGGGCGGGGGGGGGGGGTTCTAATTTGGAGGCAGCGACCGGGGGTGGCCTCATGTTTCTCCTGGATGTGCACACAGAGTCATTACCAGCTCCAGCTGTGCCCCGGTGCCGACTGCCCCATGGTCATCCAGGTACAAGAGCCCCGAGCTCGCCGCGTCCAGTGCAGTCGGTGCAGCGAGGTCTTCTGGTAAGAGCGGGTGTGGGTGCTGAGCAGCCTGGGCTCCTGCTGCCTCTTCAGAGCACCCCTCTGCGGCGGGGGCGGGGGAGGGGAGCGGGGCCAGACGGGGCCTTTGAACCAGGAGAGCGGCTCCGCTCTGGGGGGGCACCTCATGTTCCATGTTATGTTGGCTAATGCTCCGTCTGCAGACAAAACGGTGGCACAGATTCTTGGAGAATGTGCTATGGTTTATGCTCCTAAGACTTGTGACCCAGAGATTTTATCTCTCTACCTGCACAGATAATTTACATATTACTATTTACATATTCAACGTTTTCATCTTTCTCTGTAATTCATAAACGTGGTTTACATCTCCTTGGGGTTTACTCCATTCAGTAAATATGATGGGAATAGCAAAATGTCCTGAAGGTTTAGGCACTGTCCTGACCGCGTGCCTTCATGCTCCCCGCAGTGTGTGGGTAGCACTGCTGTCATCCTTGTTGGGTGAGGAAGTTGAGGTGCAGGGTATTGACAAGAGTCATCACTTAGGTCCAGGTCTGTGCCCCTAATTTCACCTCCTGGGGAGCCTCACGGAGGGCGGGGCTTCAGGGACACTGCATGGGAAATGTGGCGTGTGCGCGTGGGCCTGCCTCTAAGACGTCGTGGAGGGAGCCTGTGGCTCGCCAGTGGGTAAGAGCCCCTGAGGTGGCTGCTCTCCGCCTCCGTGTCCTGCACGGGAACTCTCCTGGGGCACGTGTGAGGCCGTCCGCCTGCGCCTGTCCTGTCCCTCACGCTGTGGTGGCTGGGGCCCGGCCTGAGGACGTGTGCTCTGGCTGAGCTGCCTGCACTGTCGGGGTATCGCGCCGCTGCAGCCTGTACAGCTCGGGCATTGTGCCTCCTGTGTGCACATGTGGCTGGAAGGTGAGCCAAAGCTCCCAGAAGTGGGTCTCGCCCAGCTTGGTGTCTGAGCTGAGGTGTCGTCCTCAGAGCACCTCACCGTGCCTGCTGAGAGGCGAATTCTGAACTCGACATCCTAGTAGGAAGGGTGGACACCACACAAGACACTGAGAACAGAAACTGTCATTTGGGTTTATTGAGAGTATATCTTGGAAGGACTGAGACTGGAGAGAAGTGGACACAATATTTCAGTATAATCTCGAGCAGGTAAAGGTCTGAAAGGCCTTGATAGGTGACTTTCCCTCTGAAAAGCTGTTCAGCAGGATCTGTTGGCTTGGACAGAAGGAAAATTAAAAACCTGACCTAACGATTATTTGAGTGTTTTTCTTTTCTGGTTTTAAGTTTCAAGTGTCGTCAGATGTATCACGCCCCCACAGACTGCGCCACGATCCGGAAATGGCTCACCAAGTGTGCAGACGACTCTGAGACGGCCAACTACATTAGTGCTCACACGAAAGACGTAAGGAGCGTGTCTTCCCTGTCGTGGCTCTGCCCTCCTCGGTGCTGCCCGGCCTTGTGCAGACTTGGCAGCGGTGGCAGCGGTTTATCATAGTGTACATTGGTGGGTGCGTTTATTTGAGTCCAAAGCTGAAATGCCTGGGGAAGTTACGGAACTAATTAGGGGGAAACGAGGTCTTTCTTGAAGGCCTCCCGGCTTTCAGACCCCCGGGAGGGAGGAGTGTGACAGCCACACCCCATACACAGCAGGACTCGCTGCAAGCCCAGGCCTGCCGTGCTTGTTCTGCACCTTCCCTGGGGGAAGATGGCCACCGCCCTGGAGCCCGGGTGCCCCGGCACCCCAGGCTCGAGGTTCACGCGCGCACAGACACGGCTGTGGCCAGGACATGGTGGGACAGGCTGCTGCGTGGCACAGCGCCCGCCGGTCTCCGCAGCGTGTCCGGGGGCTGCTGGCGCCGCTCAGTGTGAGCGAGCAGCTTCAGAGTCTGCTTCCTCACCCTCTTCAGAAGCAGGAGTCCGGGCAAGCTGCCAGGACTCGGCCCGCTCTAGCGCACTCCTCTCCGGCGCAGGCTTTCCGCTGACTCCGCTGCTCGCCGAGCGGCCCCTGGCAGGGACGGGGCGGCAGGCGTAGTGGGGCTCAGCTGGTGCTTGGAGTGTTTCAGAGTCAAACTTGCTGACCTCGTTTCCTTGGATTGCTGTTCCAGCCTCAGCGACCCGGCACATTTAAGTGAGATGCTCCTCCCGCAGTGCTCGCACCATGAGTCACTGGGCACAGGTGCCAGGAGCTCTGTGTAATTGTCTTAGCCCCAACCTGGTGGTGCGTGAGCCTAACGGCGCCCTTCTGTCTCCTCAGTGTCCCAAGTGCAACATCTGCATCGAGAAGAACGGAGGCTGCAATCACATGGTGAGCGGAAGCCCTGCCCTTTGCCTATGTGACACAGAGCCTTGGTCAGCGGGCCTTTAACACGCTCTCTTCTGTTTCCCTCCGACAGCAATGCTCCAAGTGTAAACACGGTGAGTCCCGGGCTTGGCGTGCAGGCCCAGGGCACAGGCTGTTTCCTGTGCACGGTCTCCATTGCTTGTGTCGGGCGCGCTTGTGTGGTGTTGTGACAGGACACAGGGCAGCCTGCGTCACTTACATCATCATATTTACGCACTACCTTCTGGACCCTCTGTAATCCCACTGCCATCCCGGCGCCACATGTAGTCAGAAGTCAAGTTGGGGGTGACTCTTAGACCCTCGTGAACCCTCAGGCTCCCAAGAAGAAGATGTTACGTGTTCTTTTTGTTTTTGCCAAGGCAGGTAAGTAGCACGGGCTTATCTGTGCTGCCTGACGGATGGTGCTCCTGGAGGTGGTGAGATCATCGATGTCCCGTGAGGTTCATAATGTCCCCAGCGGGCGTTTGACTTGGCCTTTCAGGCCTCCCCCTCTCTCAGGAGGAGCTTAGGTAGGACCTGTTGGTTTTGCTTTCCTTCCCGCCAGATCGAGGAGGACCTGTGTGGACGTAGGTCTCCACACGGTGCGGACGTGCTGCGGTTCCTCTTCTGAGGGCCTGTCGCGTGCGCGTCCTGTGTTTTCCCAGGAGCTCCCTGTAATCAGAGTGGACGTGGCACGGAGTGAGAAGGGAACAGGGACTCTGCAGTGCAGACAGGATTTAAAACAGCAGCAAGCACAACGCAGCTGGTGGAGGAGAGCAATATTGCCTCTGTCCGATGAGGGCGACCAAGAGAAGGGAGTGGATGGCCTCTGGTCTGGGTTTGACTTCAGCTTTCCTAAATTTTACAGGAGCACCTTTTGGGAAGCCAGCCAACTCCTGGTAGTGATCCTGGGAAACAGGGCTCCCCGCTGTCAGGTCTCTGTCCTGGGCCCCTAGCAGCCAGCCGCGGGCCTCTTTCCTGGACCACAGTCGTCGTTGGGATGTACAGCGTCCATAAGGGATGTTTAGTTTTCGCTCTTTGCTTTCCCTGCGGAAGCAGAGCCATAATTCTGAGCATGAACTGCTGAGTAGCTGTAGGTTTTATAGAAATGTGCTTTTTAAAAAAGAAGAAAGGGTGCCCTGACCGGTTTGGCTCAGTGGATAGAGCATCCGCCTGCGGACTGAAGGGTCCCAGGTTCAATTCCGGTCAAGGGCATGTACCTTGGTTGTGGGCACATCCCCAGTAGGGAGTGTGCAAGAGGCAGCTGAATCGATGTTTCTCTCTCATCGATGTTTCTAACTCTCTGTCATTCTCCTCCCTTCCTCTCTGTAAAAAATCAATAAAATATATTTAAAAAAAAAAAAAAGAAGAAGAAGAAGAAGAAAGGGTAAAGCCCTTATTCCCAGCTTCAGGGACAGAGTCTTCTAGGACAGATGTAAGAGTGGGAGGTGGCAGGTGTGTGCGCTGTGAATGAGCCTCAGTGGGACAAGTTCCTGCCAGTTTGTTTGTCACAGTGGAGCGGACACAGCAGACCGGCAGTGTTTTATGCTTTAAGAACCTTACTTTCCAATTAGTTTACGTTCGTCCCAAGTGTGCCGCATGGTGGTTAGACAGTTACGTACTTGACCGTGATCGTGTTGCTCCTGCCTGGCCCCATACATAGGTGATATTCTTGACTGTGTTCGCTGTACTGTGCTTTATCAGACCAGTGGTCTTGTACAGTCAGCACCTGCCTGCATCGGGTTAAAAAGGCACAAAGCATATACACTCAGGAACTGTTGTTTAGATCGGCAAGGGCAGGCTACGGGGACAGTGGGAGTCGGGGAGACAGGCCCACATTCCTCCGGGAAGGAGGCAGCCTTGGGAAGTTATGATCAGGTGACAAAGCACAATCTGTCTGTCCCCACTGCTTTGCCTTTGGAGGCCTGGGGCTTGCCTGGGGGTGAGATGCCTCTCTCTTCTGTGCAGACTTCTGCTGGATGTGCCTAGGGGATTGGAAGACCCACGGCAGCGAATACTACGAGTGCAGCCGGTACAAGGAAAACCCCGACATCGTCAACCAGAGCCAGCAGGCCCAGGCCAGGGAGGCCCTCAAGAAGTACCTGTTCTACTTCGAGAGGGTAGGCTCTCCTCAGCTCTCCCGGAGGGGGCTCTGCGGCTGGCCTGCTGGGGGGCCTCCCAGGGACTGGGCCCAGAGCCACGTGCACACAGAGGTCAGGTGGGCTCCTGCGTGGCCCTGGGTGATGCCTCCATAGATGTGGCTCTCGGGCTCCACGGGGCGGCCGTGGCCGACAAGGACGGACGTGGTGCTGACTTGTGTGGGTGCTGGACTGAAGGACAGTAGGGCCATCAGAGCCATCTGAGTGGTCAGATTGCGGGGGCAGTTCCTCCCGGGGAGGCCCTTCAGCAGCCCACACAGCGTGGCACGTTTGGTTGCCGAGCACAGTGAACCAGTGAGTGCCTGCTGGTCCTCAGGGCTGGAGCCCTACTGCCCCAAAGGGGGACAGTGGTCTGGCAGGCGGACCGTTGCTCTGGACACTCCCCCTCGGTCGCCCTCAAGGTCCCAGACCCCGTGAGCGAGACGAGGCTGTGGCTGGGCCCTTGCAGCCCGGGTGTCGATTCTGAACTCCTGTGTGGGCTCTGCCGTCCCCGGGCTCCAGCTTCCTCCTCCCTCCTCCCTGCAGTGGGAAAACCACAACAAGAGCCTGCAGCTGGAGGCACAGACGTACCAGCGGATCCACGAGAAGATCCAGGAGCGGGTCATGAACAACCTGGGGACATGGATCGACTGGCAGTACCTGCAGAACGCTGCCAAGCTCTTGGCCAAGGTCTGTGCCACCTCCCTCTTCTGATCCCCTGTTAGACCCAGACCTCCTGGTGGGAGACACTGAGGGGGCTGGGGCGTCAGCACCCTGTGCAGCCCGCATACTCCTGCTCACGGGCGGCCGTCCGTGCTGTGCCCACTGAGGCCCAGTCTCTGCTGGACGTCCAGGGGGTCCCAGAAGAGGAGCACTGCTCTGCCTGCAGGAAGGAGCTGCGGGGAGACTAGAGCCCTTTTCTTCTTTTGTCCCATCCATGCGTCACTCAGGAAAATAAGAGCTTGTCTTTGGACAGTTATTGAGATAGATGTGTGGACTCTGAGGTCCGACTCAAGAGGGAAGAGCCATTGAGGCAGCTGCTGGTAAATAAATCCCAGTTTGGAAAAGGAACTGTGGGTGTTCTGTGGCCACTTTTGTTTCCTTTTTTCCATGTTGTCCCCACTTCATCCTTTATTTGGCTTGGTCGCATTTCTTTCAGGCCCATACCTGTGGAGCCAGGCTAATGTGCATGGTGGGGAGAGAATTGTGAGAGCCGCTGAGGTGCATGTGGGCTAGCACCAGAGACACAGGTCCCTCTCTTCTCCCCATTGCAGTGTCGCTACACCCTGCAGTACACGTACCCGTATGCGTACTACATGGAGTCTGGACCCAGGAAGAAACTGGTAAGGCGAAGCGGCCCCTCTCCACTCCGCCCTCCTAGCGCCAGAGGTGCCCTGGGCATTGGGAGGCCAACATTAAAACAAAGTCCATCTTCCAATGGTATTTCTCTTCTAGGCATCTCCAGAGTAAGCCCCATCTCCTCACTAGCTGGCATTCTGTGTCCTGGCCCCTGAGTGCCAGCAGTGCACAGGGGGCTGCCGGAGTGTCTGTGTCCTGGCCCCTGAGTGCCAGCAGTGCACAGGGGGCTGCCGGAGTGTCTGTGTCCTGGCCCCTGAGTGCCAGCAGGGCACAGGGAGCTGCCGGAGTGTCTGTGTCCTGGCCCCTGAGTGCCAGCAGTGCACAGGGAGCTGCCGGAGTGTCTGTGTCCTGGCCCCTGAGTGCCAGCAGTGCACAGGGGGCTGCCGGAGTGTCTGTGTCCTGGCCCCTGAGTGCCAGCAGGGCACAGGGAGCTGCCGGAGGGGCTGTGTCCTGGCCCCTGAGTGCCAGCAGTGCACAGGGAGCTGCCGGAGGGTCTGTGTCCCGGCCCCTGAGTGCCAGCAGGGCACAGGGAGCTGCCGGAGGGTCTGTGCCACTTGAGAGGCCAGTGCCCGTGCTGTGGGAGGAGATCAGTCTTCGTTTCACCCTTTCTCTTAGCCATGAACTTCCCGCTCCCCAAGTCATTGTAAAGGAATTCACACCTGTTGTCCAGACGCACCTGTAGTCCCACCAGAAAGACATGACCACATGTCAGTGTTTTCTCCCTTTTGAAATTAACGTTATTTATAGAGCATTTTACTGTTACAGCAGTTCATTGTTGCAGCTGTCATTATTTACCAGGCTGGTTAATACCATTTTTTTTAAAAAAGGTATTTTTATTGATTTCAGAGAGGAGGGGAGAGGGAGATAGAAACATCAATGATGAGAGAGAATCATGGATCGGCTGCCTCCCACATGCCCCACACTGGGGATCAAGCCCACAACCCGGGCATGTGCCCTGAGAATCAAATCGTGACCTCCTGGTTCAGAGATCAATGCTCAACCACTGAACCACACCAGCCAGTCCTGGTTAATACCATTTTTTTAAAGTTGCATACATGTTTCCATTATATGGGTATTCCATCATTTGGGGCATTGTTTGTTTTTCACTATAAATAAGACGTTGAGGAACATCTGTGTGCAGAAAGCTTGGATGTACAATTACTAAGGCAACTGGTTCAACTATTTATTTTAAGAGTTGATCTGCAGAAGGGCTGAAGGAAAACAGAGTATTCGGGGAATACGATGTCTGTGAATATCCATTCATCGATTTCTAAAGCATTTGTTTCCCTATATGCTGGGAGCATTATCTGCAGTGGCTTAAATTCTTGCCTGTTTTTTGGGGTGGGAGGACTGTGCTCTTGCCATTTGTCTGTACTTAGGTAGCCCTTTTTTTAAAATATATTTTTATTGATTTTGGAGAGGAAGGGAGCGGGAGAGAGAGAAACATAAGTGACGAGAATCATTGGTTGGCTGCCTCATGCACACCCCCCACTGGGGATCAAGCCCACAACCCAGGCCTGTGCCCTTGACCGGAATCGAATCTGGGACTCTTCAGTCTGCAGGCCAGCACTCTATCCACTGAGCCACGCCGGCCAGGGCTAGGTAGCCTTTTCATTGGGTTCTGGCTCCGGGGACAGGGACCAGCACTGCCCGCTTGAGGACAGCTTCAGGGTTGTCTGCTGCTCGTGTGAGCCTGAGGTGCTGCGTCTGCCCCGTCTGCAGGCCCTGCCCCTCTCCTTCTGACCCTCCTGCTCTGCCCATACAGTTTGAATACCAGCAGGCTCAACTGGAGGCTGAGATCGAAAACCTGTCCTGGAAAGTGGAGCGCGCGGACAGCTATGACAGGGGGGTAGGTGCTGCTGTCTCCTTGGACCTGCCATGCAGGGAGGGGACAGGGTTGCTTGTGGGCTGGGGCTGCTGCTGAGAAGGCGGGGAGGGCTGTGCTTTTGACTCCTGGAGCCCGTCAGGTGGCCGTGGCTTTGGCTCTCACGGGCTGGGCCATGCAAGCACAGATTTTGCTTCCCTGGTGCAGGACTTAGAAAACCAGATGCACATAGCAGAGCAGCGGAGGCGGACCCTGCTGAAGGATTTCCACGACACCTAGGCTGCCCTCGGCGAGCGCGAGGGAGGAAGAGGTGGCTGGAGCTCGCCCGGCTGCTGTTCTGCATGCTGCGGCTCTGCCTCTCACGACCCCAGGCAGCAGCCAGGCCTACTCCTGAGAGACCCTGGCACTCACCTCAGCCACTTCTGTTCTGTTTCATCTTTCTTTTTGTTTCTCCTACGGTCGAGGCCCTGTTGAATTGGCCTCTTCAGGATTTGTAATTCCCCCTGGACGGTTGTTGGGAGGGAGGGAAAGTTTTTTTGAATGACTATTAATAGTATTAGCTCATTACAACTTATGTGATTTTCAAAGGTTGGAAAAATGTACCAAAAAAAACACAGAAAAAGGAATCCAACCATAGAATTACACAGAACCTTTTAAAAAAATAAATTGGCATTGGAGTGTTCGCCCTCTAGCTATTGTCCTTAGAACGCAGCGTGCTGCCTGACCACCGGCCTCTGAATGTGCACTGTAGGCCAGTGTGGCCTCTGCTTCCCGATTCGCTTGGTGTTTGGGGTCCCAAGAGAGGAGCATGGGTGGCAGGTGGGGACTTGAATTCGCCTGTGCAACGGGCCTGCTCCTGCAGACCTTCGGTCAGGTGCCCTGCCAGACCCTACAGGGCGCAGGCAGTACAGGGCAGGGCTGGCCACGGGCGTCTGATCGTCCTGGGTGGTGCTGCCTGTGGGCTCATCTTGATTCTTGAAGGTGAGGCTCACCAGGTCTGGCTCCTGAAGCCGGAGCCCACAGCAGAGCATGGATGGCGGTCTTGTGGCGCCAGACCAGGGACAGGAGTGGAGCAGTGTTTCCGTTTGCCTCCTAAAGACAGAGATCCACTGTCAAAGGGGATTGTTCCCCAAAATAACTTTAATCTGGTCCCTTCTTTTGGGCAGTATTCAGGGGGTGACTGACCAAGTGCTCACGCAGCGTCCCTGGCACTGTCCTGCCCGCTCCTCTGGCGAACCTCGGGTCGGAGGGCAGCGTGGCCCTTGCGAGGGCACCGGTCGTCCCGGCTCCGGGCCCTGTTTGCACAGGTGGTTTTCCTGTTACCTGGAGTGTCCGCAGCTCTGGGGCTTGGGCGCTCTCCCCTCGCCTGACTTCAGGTGTCAGAGGGCTCCACCTCCAGGGTCTGAGAGTCTGAGACCAGGAGAGCCCTTAGTCTGTGGTCCCGGCTCCTGTAGGAGGAGGGGCTGGCCAGGGAGAGGGCCAGGGCTTGCACAGCTGAGCCCAAAGGAGCAGGTGGTTCGTTCGCTGGTGTCCTGAGCCTGGTCCTGTGGGCCTCCGGAAAGTTAAATCTGGTCTCGGTTTCTGTGGCTGCGTGGTGCCTGCACGCTGAGGCTGCCAGAGCTCTGTGCTCGACCTCCTTGACCTCCTGGGAGACGTATAAATATTGTGGTGGAAATTCTTTGATATTCAAACATTTCCACCTCAGCAGTTTCCCAGGTGCCATGGTTGTAAACGGCGTTACTCTTGGAGACAGGAAGCTTGGCTCTCGGGGTCACGGGCACACAGCTGGGCGCGGTTCCCTTTCTCTCCGCTTGGTTTTGTCCGCTCCTGTTCTCTCTTGCGAGGGGCGGACTGTGTTCGGAGAGGGAGAACAGCTAGTGTAGCCAATGAGCCCAGGATTGGACGGGGCGCTCCCAGAACCAGGAGAGCCTGTGGGGCCTGGTGGGGTGTGAACGCTGCGCTGGCACGTGGATGGTCCTGCTTACCTCCTGTCTTGCTGTGTCGCCGGCGCGGCCCAGGAGCCGAGCTGCAGCTCTCGCCGCGGTCGCATCCTGGGCGCCCTGCATGTTGTGGACTGCACAGCCGCCGTGTGCCCGCGCCTGGATCCAGCTGCAGCCCAACCGCTGGCGCTGCGGAGGCTCGGTGCCGACCACAGCCTGCGGGCCTGGCCCGGGGGAGGCCCGGCGGAGCTTTCCTGCCCCGAGAGGGTAGGAGATGAAGAAGGCACTGTGTTCTCATGAATTTGCCGTATATCTTTGTTTTCTTCAAAGAAAAAGTTGAGGTCATGTCATCTGCTCAAAGTTGAGTAGTTTATTCAAAATAAATTGAAAGTTTCTGATTATAAAAGTGTGTGTAGATTTCTTTCTTCAAAGGACCCTTCATGTAGCCTCCTGAGGGAGCATCCAGGGTACGGCCTCGGCACCGAATGCGCGGCCTTTTGGTCAGCCCCTCCTCCGGGCCTGCGAAGGCCCCGTGGCCTGACCGCCTTCCTCTTCTGGGGAGAGGACACCTGTGGAAGGAGGTGGGCTAGCTGAGCTCCTTTCCATCCCGTACAGGCCAACCCCCCCCAAAAAACAACAACAACAACAACGGATCCCTGGCTTGTCCCACAGCCCCTGCTGAGGCCCTGGGCCCCTCCCGGTCGGACGTGGGAGCTTAGGGCTGCGGAATATGGCCGGGGTGGGGTTGGGTTCCAGCGGTTCTCAACCTGTGGGTTGCGACCCCTTTGGGGGTCAAACGACCCTTTCACAGGGGTCGCCTAAATACCTCCTGCATATCAGATATTTACGATTCATAACAGTAGCAACATTGTAGTTATGAAGTAGCAACGAAAATAATTTTATGGTTGGGGGTCACCACAACATGAGGAGCTGTATTAAAGGGTCGAGGCATTAGGAAGGTTGAGAACCACTGGTAGATGGTCCTGGGTTATGAAGATAGGACTCGAGAGAGAAACTAGAGATATTTGGAGTCATGCCAAAGGTTGAGGACAGGAAATACAAGGTATGGGTTCCCAATGAGGGTCCATTTGTGGCGACAGCTCAGGGGTGAAGGCTGCAGAGCTGTGGGCGGCATGCACGGGTCAGGCCAGAGCAGCCCTGGACCCTGCGGTCGGAACTCCGCGGTTCTCCCCCTTGAGCCTCACAGGCTGAGAGAGACATGGGCTCTGCCCTGGGGGACGGGGGGCAGAGGGGACACGGAGGGAATTGGTCACAGGTGAATGTTTTCTCTGAGGCAGCAGGGCCAGCGGCCACTCCTGCAGGTCACGGGGCTGAGTACCATGGCCTTGGCACCGTATCCTCGGCCATCTTAAAAAAGAAGAGAAGCCCCCTCCCCTTTTTAACTTGCAGGAAAAAAAAAAAAAAGGAAGAGAAGCCCTCGCTGGTGTGGCTCAGTGGGCAGCGTCGGCCTGCAGACAAGGGTTCTGGGTTCAATTCCGGTCAAGGGCACATGCCCTGGTTGCAGGCTCGATCCCCAGTTGGGGGCATGCAGGAGGAGGCAGCCAATCAATGATTCTGATCATTGATGTTTCGATCTCTCCCTCTCCCTTCCTCTCTGAAATCAATAAAAGTACATTTTTTTAAAAAAATATGGTTCCTTTCCCCCTTAAAAAAAAAAAAAAAGATAGCAAAGTCTAGGGCAGTGATGGTGAACCTATGACACGCGTGTCAGAGGTGACACTCGAACTCACTTTTTTGGTTGATTTTTCTTTGTTAAATGGCATTTAAATATATAAAATAAATATCAAAAATATAAGTCTTTGTTTTATTATGGTTGCAAATATCAAAAAATTTCTATATGTGACACAGCACCAGAGTTAAGTTAGGGTTTTTCAATTTGCTGACACGCCGAGCTCAGAAGGTTCGCCATCACTGGCCTAGGGGAAGGACTTTCCCACGTGGCCCAGGGGTTCCTGCAGCAATCAGCATGGCCCAGGGACTGGCTCTGCTAGGGGCACTGAGGGCCCAGCATTGATCTTGGCTTGTTAAACCAATCCTGTCCCCAGGAGACAGTCACTAATGTGCACTGAACACACACCCAGTCAGTCCTCGCTGCAGCCCACATGCCACAGCTCACCTGGAGGAAAGTGCACATGTTCATGTCAGAAACTGGAAGGCCCATTTTTGTAACAGAGCAAAGCGCCCACATGTGACAGTGACCTGGGCCTGCCTGCCACCCCGAGAGGTGAGCCTGCCGAGAGATTGAGACAGCAAAGGGGTGGTCGGTTTTAAAAGGCCAAGAAATTGTAGTTTATGATACGATTGCGAAATTCCCACAGCCAACAGATGGAGCAGAAAGGGGGTGAAGCTGCACCCCTTCCTCCCCTCAGCTGCTTGCTTCCTGCTGCCTGGGATGAGCTAGCAGAGCAGGAGCTGTGCCTGGCAATGGGCATAACTCCACTGGAGAGGGTCATAGAGAGGGAGGGGCATGGAGTTTGGAAAAGGAGTTCAGGGAAGTATATTTTTTATTGATTTCAGAGAGGAAGGGAGAGGGCAAGAGAGACAGAAACATCAATGATGAGAGAGAATCATCAATCGGCTGCCTCCTGCACACCCCCACACTGGGGATCGAGAGATGACCGGGGAATCAAACCTTGACCTCCTGGTTCATAGTTTGATGTTCAAACACTGAGCCCCACTGGCCGGGCTAATTGTAGATTTTAAAAGGCTAAAGAAGAGCCCTAGTCAGTTTGGCTCAGTGGTTAGAGTGTCAGCCTGCGGACTGAAGGATCATGGGTTCGATTCCAGTCAAGGGCAAATACCTAGATTGCAGGCTCAATCCCCGCCCTGGTCAGGGCTCGTGTGGGAGGCAGCCAATAGATGTCTCTCTCACATTGATGTTTTCTGTCTCCGCCCCTCCTTCCACTCTCTCTAAAAATCAATGGAAAAAAATATCCTCGGTGAGGATTAACAAAACAAACAAAAGGCTAAGGAGGAAATGGTCTCAGTATTCATTCATGGATACCAGGAAACCATGACATCCTTGGTAAAATTGTGACGACCAGAAAATGCAGGGACAGGGTGGGGCTTAGCTGGGTGAGGAGAAACCGCCAGTGGGACCTGCCTCACGGGTGTTACCCTGGGGCACATGCATCGCTGCCCAAGGAGAACCCAGCCCTGCAGAGCTGGGAGCTTAAAAATGCCCAGGCAGGCAGCTGGCCATGGTCCGTCCTTCCGCCCCAGACCTGGCAATATCCTCAGAGGCGGTGGCGTCTCAGTGATGGCCAAGTCCTGTCCTCCTCCTCCATGTGCGGCTCTGAGGCAGGAGGGTTCCCGTGCGCCCGCTGCAGCCTGGGTTACCCTTGGGCCCTGACCTTCCTGGTGCAGGCCTCCCGGGAGGCCCTCTGACCAGCCCGGGCCGCCCCCCTCCCCCATGCGACCCCGCACATCGGACTTCTTCCTGAGCCTGACTCCTGCAGGCCCGGGAGGTCCAGGCCGACCACAGAGCGGACCTCCCAGGCGTTCCCTCCCCCAACCCCCACCCTCCAGGCGACCTTGACCTCCTACCCTGGCGCCAAAAGCTATGGGTCCCATTCCATCACGTGCGCAGTCACCTGCCCCGCGGCGCCCGCACACTGGCGCAGCCCTGAGTCATCCTCTGGCCCTGCCTCCTGCTGGCGGCCGCCGCACCCGGGAGCGAGAGATGCGGACCCTGCTTATACGGGAGGAGGGAAGTGCGTCCAAACCAGGAAACAGGCTCCCGCTGGGCTCCCGTGGGCGCTGCCGCTCTGGTTTGCATGAATTGGAGGGCATGCCCCCCGCCCTGCGCTAACGCAGCCCGAGAAGACGCGCCGATGTGGGCCGGGGTCCAGGGCGCAGAGAGACGCGGGCCGGCGCGGGCGGCTCCGGGCTGGCGGGCGCAGCATCCCCCGGCGCCGTCTCCTAGCGACCGCGGCGCGCGCGGGCTCGGCGGTTGTCCGGGCAACAGCGCGGCGCGGGCATCCCCGCGGCCCCTCCCCTGGGCGCGCGCGCGACCGGGGCGCCATGGCGGCGGCGGGCCTGAGGCCTGAGGCC